TTTTGTATGATGATTTTATGTCCTGTCACAGATAATGTCTTAGATAGGTACCATGTACTTTGAGAATATAGAGGTCCAGAAAGGGTTTATGAAATTATAACATAGTTAAGACTACAAAGGCTTAGTAAAGGTGGGTGAGAAAGTCAAAAACCATCAAACCCTCTTGGAACTAAATTGACTGAACATTTCTAGGAAAATTTGGTAGTATCATTGAAATTATAGAATATATATACCACATGATTTGATAATTACAGTTTTGTTTCAGGGCATTTGCTGTTGGAATACTAACAAATAGCACCAAGTTAAATATACAGGGGTAATTTTTGAGTTGCATATGCTTTTGGTCTAACTATGGAAAATTAGTGTATGGTATTGCCATGTGGTTGGAGAAGGGGAGGAAACTTCTTCAAATTGTCTGAAGACCTTCAGACCCCTGTCCTTTCCACCTGCTCGATACTACCCATCTCCCCATAGATGCTGGTCATAAAATTAAGGTACATGTGCTTGATGTTGTAGGAGGCAGTGACTTTCAAGGATGTAGCTGTGGTCTTTACCAAAGAGGAGCTAGGGCTGCTGGACCCTGCCCAGAGGAAGCTGTACCAAGATGTGATGCTGGAGAACTTTAGGAACCTGCTGTCAGTGGGTGAGGAGAGGCACCATCTGTAACTGAATGTCAGCCTGTAAGAGTGTCTTAGTTTCACTTAGACTCTTGAAATGCTTCCCTGAACTTAAGGGTCTGAATTTCTTAATTCCTGTGGGATACTTTGTCTTTTTTTCCCTCAAATTATAGTTATGACATCTTGGTGAGTTTTCGAATCAGTCAATAGTTACATCATTATTGAGGTGACCAGACATCCCACTTTTGGTGAGACAGTCCCAATTTTTAACAATTTGTCCGGCGTCCTGCAGCGTTTTTAAAAAGTCCCGATTTTTGGAAAGAATGCATGACAAGCTAGGGAACAGTGGGAGAATGGGAAACTGCTAATGTTACTCCATTTGGGAATGAAGAAGTTAATGTAACTTCATTTGGAAATGAAAAGGCTAATGTAAACTCCCTACTCCCCTCCTGGGCAAGGTCACCCAGGTGGAATTGGTATCAGAAAGAGACTGGCTCCCTCCCTAGCTTCTAGGCAAGGACAATTAGCTCAGAAAGAGCCAAACTGTCTGGAACAAACAAGTAGCCCCTCCCTCTCTAGAGGGTCCCTAACCACAATCAGCTCAGCCAATAGCAGCCCTGCCAACAAAACACCTGATGAAATACCTCTATGCACTTTAAAAACCTCAGCTCACTTCACTAGGGGGTCGCCCTTCCTCCAGCTATGCTGAAGGGAAGAGTGGCCCAGGCATATGCTTACAAAATAAAGCACTTTTGGTCTTTACATGTATGTGGTGGTCTCTCAGTGGCAATTCTAGTCCCAAAACTGCCATGTGGCTATTTCGCCAGGATATGAGTTTTATATTGTTTTTGTTAATTTTATAATGTTAAACTTTAATGATAACAAATAATTGTTGAGAACTGATTATCGAGAACTGCTTATCAAAGTTCGTATTGTTGATCAGTTGTTGGAATTCGACCACCATTGTTTGGACTTAATGAACAATGGCATTTTTTGGCATTGGCAACCACAAAAACATTTTGTAACTGCCTCTCAGACAATACACATCATACTGCATGCTAGTGCTAGTTAAACAAATGATGTTAACAAATCAGCTATTCAGATAATTTAGGTTATTTATTTATTTATTTCATGAATTTAGCAGACATTACTCGTATTATTTATATTTTATAATGGTAGCAAAAAGTCTAGTGCCAGCTTTGAAAGTGATACTCGACTTACAAGGTATCATTATTAAAAAAATATATTGATAAGGAAAAGGTTAACTCTTGGGCATCAACAAAAATCACAATAGAGAACAAATGTTTAGAAATATTTCATCATTTTGAAACAAACCATGTTCCATACAATAATGCACTAAAAATTGTGGGATACGCACTGTCCTTACCAGGAACTAATGCTGTGACTGAATGTGTTTTTTCTACCGTAAATAAAATGTGGACATCAGAAAAATCAAAATTAAGTGTGGAGACTTTGAAAGCCATTTTATGTGTGAAATATAATTAACAAATTCTTGTGAAAAATTTCATGATCTTTTAAATGACAGCAATCTACTAAAAAAAATTCACTCAAATGAGAAATATGCCAAAGAATAAAATAATACTATACATAATTTTTTTTTTTTTTTTTGCCAGGACTGGGTTTGAACCCACCACCTTCGGCATATGGGGCCAGCGTCCTACTCCTTTGAGCCACAGGCGCCGCCCTATACATAACTTTTTTTTTAATGTATTATATTTGTAAATTGTACTTATGTTGAAATTTAAAAATATGTATATTACAATACTACTTTTGCATTCTATGAAAATTTTTGTTGCTCCATATAGACCAAATTTTTAATTAAGAACCCACCCCCCACACACACACACCCATAAATGGTGTCCCGCTTTACCAATGTTAAAATCTGGTCACCTTAGTCATTATTGTGTTTAATGAAATGGAGCTACCTACAGTGAAATAAAAGTAGTGAGTAGGGCTGGGCACAGTGGCTCATGCCTGTAATCCTAGCACTCTGGGAGGCCGAGGCGGGTGGATTGTCAGCTCATGAATTTGAGACCAGCCTGAGCTAGAGCAAGACTCCATCTCTAAAAAGTAGCTGGGCATTGTGGTGGGTGCCTATAGTCCCAGCTACTTGAGAGGCTGAGGCAAGAGAATCACTTAAGCCCAAGAGTTTGAGGTTGCTGAGAGCTGTGACGCCACAGCACTATACCAAGGGTGACAAAGTAAGACTCTCTCTCAAAAAAAAGGAGTGAGTAAAACAGAAAAGGAGATATGATAAAAGTAGATAATGGTTAGGATCAGATTATCTGATCACTTGATTCAGTGATTTTTATTTGTATTAGTCTACTGGATTACAACTTAAAATATATTTAGCTTCATGATCAGAGCTTTGAAAAATACTACTTGGAGCAAATGAAGATTATATAGTATTGTGATTAAAATTTTTGCCTATAATGCATTAACTTTATACATATGCTATTTCTTTTTCATAGGTTATCAGCCCTTCAAGTTAGATACGTTGTTACAGTTAGAAAGAGAAGAGAAGCTTTGGATGATGGAGACAGAGACCCAAGGAGATGGGTGTTCAGGTGAGAACCATGCAGCTTTGCGTGTTTGCAGGGTCCAGCCTAGTGCTCCCTTCTCACCACCTCCTTGGTTGCCAGCCTGGCCCAAGCCCCCCAAATTCCCCCCTCTGCTTTAGTGCAGCATCTGCTCACTGTCTTCCTGCCTCTACTTCAGCAGCCACATAAGTCCGATCATGTCATTCTTTGGCTTAAAACCCTTCCATGACTTTCCATCTCACTCCTTAAATCCAAAGTTCATATGGAGCCTTCAGGATCCTATGTGACCTGGCCACTCACTCCTTCTCTGAACTCATTTCCCATCCTTTGCCCTTCACTCAGTCTTTTCCAGCCACATGGGACTGCTATCTGTTTCTTAGAACTGCCAAGTGTGCATCTTTCTACCCACAGTCCTGTCATTTGCTCATCCATCTGCCTGAGATGTTCCTGCCCTAGACATCCTCTCAGCTCCCCACCTGCTTCATGTGTGTCTGCTCAGGTGTCCTCTCATCACAGAAGCCTCTTCTGACACCATGTTGAGAAGACCCATCCCCTTACACAACCTGATTTTGTGACTAATCATTAATTACCAGATGACATATTCATGTGTTATATTTTGGGAGTTTTTTTTTTTTGAGACATAGTCTCACTCTGTCACCCTGGGTAGAATACCATGGCATCATAGCTCACAGCAACCTCAAACGTGGGGGCTCAAGTGATCCTCTTGGCTCAGCCTCCTGAGCAGCTGGGACTGCAGGTGCCTGCCACAACACCCAGCTAATTTTTCTATTTTAATAGAGATGGGGTCTTGCTCTTGCTCAGGCTGGTCTTGAACTCCTGAGCTCAAACAATCCACCTACCTCAGCCTCCCAGAGTTCTAGGATTACAAGCCAGAGCCACCACACCTGGCTCTGTTTATAAATTCTCTTTTATCTTTCTAGGACACCAGAATCAAAATGAAATAGATTCTCTTCAAGAAGTAGGGTTAAGATACCTTTTACATGAAGACCTTATGTGCTGGCAAATATTGGAACAATTTAAAAGTAAATTAACCAGAAATGAAGACTCCATAATAAATCTTCAAGGCAAGAGGTCCAAGTTGCTGAAACAAAGTGATCCATCCTGTAGGGAGTCAGCAGGAGAAAATACTCAGTTCTTTGAAGATGAGAACCGTATAATAAAACTTAGAGGGAAGCGTTCCAGTAGTATCAAAAGTCAAGAGATTCCAATTAGGACTACCTGGGATTTCTGGAGGAAAATGTACTTGAGAGAGTCCCAGAATTATCAGAATAGGTGTCAGCAAATTGATGTGAAAAATAAACTCTATAAATGTGATCCCTGTGTTATTAGTAGAAGGATTGCTCACCACTGTGATGATAAGGGACTATGCAAAAGAGAGAAAGCTGTTAGTCCCAATAATTGTGGAAAAGAGTTCATGAAGAAATCATCCCAGTGTAGTATAATCCAGTCAGGAAAGCAAACCTCTGATAAGAATGGAAAAGGCTTCAGTGTCGGGTGTCATCTTGAACTTCACCAACAATTGCTCTTAGGCAAGGAGCCACTTCTATGTATTGAGTATGGGAAGGGCATAGGTTCAGTGCTTCCTGTGCATCAGAGCATTTACACAGGAGAAAAGTGCTATAGGAATGATGAGTTTGTTGAGGGCTTCAGTCAGAGCTTGAATCTGCAACCTCCTCAGAGATTCAGCACAGGAGAGAAACCCTGCAGATGTCAGGTATGTGATCAGAACTTTTCCTCTCTTCCCACTCATGAGCTTATTCACCCAGGAGAGAAGCTATATACATCTGGCAGGTGTGGGAAGGGTTTCCATCATAACTTAGATCTTAACATTCACTGTGTAGACAACACTGCACAGAGAACCTGTAAAAATGATGTGTATGATAAAGTCTGCTTCAGTCAGACATCACAACTTCAGGCCCCTCAGAGAGCCCACCCTAGAGACAAAACATACAAATGGGAGGCACATGACAGGATAGTTAATCAGAATTCTGCTCTGCATCAGACAGTTCACACTGGAGGGAAACCATATAAATGCACAGTATGTGATAAGCGCTTCAGTAAGGCCTCAAATCTTCAAACCCATCAGAGAATTCACACTGGAGAGAAACCCTACAAATGTGATGTGTGTGATAAGAACTTCAGCCGTAATTCCCATCTTCAAGCCCATCAGAGAGTCCATACCGGAGAAAAACCCTACAAATGTGACACATGTGGTAAGGACTTCAGTCAGATCTCTCATCTTCAGGCCCATCAGAGAGTTCACACAGGAGAGAAGCCATACAAATGTGAGACATGTGGGAAGAGCTTTAGTCAGAGTTCACATCTTCAAGACCATCAGCGAGTCCACACTGGAGAGAAACCCTACAAATGCGATATATGTGGGAGGGGCTTCAGTTGGAGTTCACATCTTCAGGCTCACCAGAGAGTCCACACAGGAGAGAAACCATACAAGTGTGAAGAATGTGGGAAAGGCTTCATCTGGAACTCATATCTTCATGTTCATCAAAGGATCCACACAGGAGAGAAGCCCTATAAATGTGACATGTGTGGTAAGAGCTTCAGCCAGACGTCCCATCTTCAGGCCCATCGGAGAGTCCATACCGGAGAGAAACCTTACAAATGTACGTGTGGTAAGGGTTTTAGTAAGAGTTCATGTCTTCAGGTTCATCAGAGAGTCCATAGTTGTCATAAATCTAGTATACATAATGAATGTGGTAAAGATGTTCTTCAAGACTTGGATTTCTCATTTCCCTCAGAAAATCCACACAGCAGAGAATATTTATAAAATTTCATGTTTTAAGAATTTGTTAGTATAGACATATTTTTTTTATAACTATGACCAGTGCTTTATGCAGAGACAAAAATGTCATAGTTCTCAAGAAAACATAGCAGAGGGCTTGGTGCCTCAGTGGCTAGGGCGCCAGCCACATACACCAAGGCTGGCAGGTTCAAACCTGGCTTGGGCCAGCTAAACAACAATGAAAACTGCAACAAAAAA